AAATAGTTATGCAACGCCCTCTCGTGATATACCATGGAATATCCCACTTGTCATCTAAAGGCTCGTGTGTATACCGAGAAAATACAGTGACTCGTGAGATATTCTATGGTATACCACTCGAAAGTGTTGTATAACTAGTAGATATCTTATCTGGTATAAGCTGTTGTGAACACTTGGCTAAAACAAGTTTTATCACTGAGATGTTGGGATAATTTCTGATCCAGTTATTTTGATCATTTCAGACAACTTCATCGCTGAAATCATAACTGCTGCAAGAAGAAGAAGTCTTACTCAGCTCCATTAAGTTTGTCTTTTAGTTTTATTTTTGTTGAGGATGCAAAATGCGCAAGGGATTAAATAAACTTTTCATCACAGCTGAATTATTCTTGATTTCTCAAATCTTACCATAATGTTTGCCATTCTAGCACAGAGCGAAGTCGCGACGGGAGTTAAGTCCCGCTACAACACGTAATGTGACTGTTTTAAAAGGAGCTAGGTACGGTATTTTGAATTATTTTGGCGACGTACATAATTGCCCTTCAATCGAAGGAAACCGGAAAACTGAAAATAGTAGTTTAGTAAGATGGAAAAAACACCAAATAGATAATAATAATCCATAAAAGAACAAGGATGGTTAAAGATGGAGAAGATTAACACGGATTACAAACGACGAATCTGAAAGATTTAGGCTTAGCTTTTCAAGATGCACAAAACGCTTCGCAGCTCCTTTGACCGGTTCAACTACCATTTCCACGTCCGTGATGAATTCAGATGTATACGATAACGTCGTTGGGAAATGAGGAAATTAGAGTAATGAGTGAGGAGTAGAAATAAGAAAACGAAAGAAGCGAGGTTAATCAAGACTGACCACCATTATATCAACCACTTCCAAGTTCATCTATAGCGAAAACTATTCGTGTGCTAGCCATTTTTAGCAGTCTTGCTATAGAAAAACTCTAAAAGTATTATTAAGCAAGTTTGCTCTGTCCAGATGTAGAGATAGGGCCAGACGTTTTGGTTCACAAACACACACAAAAAGATCTAGGTTCATATTGGTCTCTATTTTTCTTTTCTTATTGTACTCCTCGATCAATTTGACCGCCTTTTGTTAGATGAACTTAACAAGCGGAAGTTTCGAGTGTTAACCCTTAGCACGAAAACCTTGCCGGCTCATAAACCCCAAACTAATAACAAACTTATTGGCATAACAGGTCATAACAGTTTAACTCGCCCGCTAGAATGGCGTAGCGGTGTATTTACAAAACTGATGTCCCTTCACAAATAAGAGGCTGGCTGAGGGTTTGGGCCTATTGAACACTCTAACAAAAAAAAAATGTTTTCAGCAGGTAATTGTCGCTTCAGTGATCAATTACCTGTCATTTTTTCTACATCGACTAGTTTGGACCAGTTAAAATTCGAGCTCAAGACAAACACTAGGTGACCACACGTCTTTCTGTCAACTACCAATTAATTTGCACCTCTTCCTTTCTTCCAATATTAACCCCTATCAATGAACGATGACGAGATTAACAAACTCTGAGTAAAACTGAGCTTGGTAGCTCTGTCTGAGTTATCTGCAAAGAAAAACAATGAATGTTGCAGCAAGACATTATTCGCCATGCCCAGGACAAAGGCCATTGTTGACAAAGTATGTTTTCTAAACGTTCTTCGCGACTGTTCGTTAACCTCGTTAAAGCGACTCCTCGACTGCTTCGCTGTCATGGTTCTGGTTATGGTGTCACTAACATTGATGTACAGGCCTTCGACACTGTTTCGTGGTCACAAGAGAATTTACGCAAACGAAAAACTGGTTGCAGACATTGTTCTCTCAAGTGATTTCGCCGATGATGGGTTTATGTTCGTTCCAGTGCACGACAAAGAAAAATACCTGTCTTACGAGCCACCGGTTGGTAGTTGGAGCAAACAACTTCAAGCGTTCGAAAACGCCGTCATAATATCCAAATTGTTGAATAGAACTCTTTTAGCCCAACCTCTCGCAAGTGAACTCGAAATTAAACGACTTAAGAAAATCATTAGGAGGACTTTACAACCTGATTCAAAAGTTTATGACTTTCTGGACAAAAAATTCACGGTTCCAATGTCTTCCATTGTGGATCTGAAACACTTATCAAAGCTGGTGAGGATTCACAGTGTATCACACCGAGAGTTTCTAAACAAATTCAAAAACCTGTCATGGTTTGACGTGTGTCATCGAGATTCAGTCGGATTCTGGGTCGACTTTATACCATCGCCTAACAATCACAATGCGTGGAAAGTGCTAGAGGCGCAAAACTTTGTACCTTTATCCTTTTCTATTCCTGTAGCGGAGCCTGTTTGTGATTATGGATTACAGATCAAAACTGATTCTTACCAGCCAAAGCCTTTTATCCGTGGAATTATCTCCGAACTAAGCCAAGTAAAGGAGGACGTTGTCTATTTTCGTGGAGGATCCTTAGCAACCAGGGATATCCGTTTTCTGTCGAAGAAACGCACTGCACTTGCCCAAAGATGGACTAGTGATTACATTCGCTTTACCCGTTATGTTCAGGAAAAGCTTCAAACAATTATGACCATGATAAAACAGCCATATAATGCGGTGCTAATTTCAACAGAAGATGAGGCGGGAAACGTAACCAATACCGTTAATTACAGACTGAAGCAAATGGAGAGGTTGAAATTTCGAGAAATGACGAATGTTTTGTACATTATAACACATATTAACAACGTAGCAGTTTTTGAACCATTTATAACAGAAGGCTACGAAATTTACTTATCTAAAAGCCTTATCCCTAATGGTATTAGCTCTTTTGTACGATACGATGTAACAGAACTCCTAGGATTAGTGATTTGTAAATACGCTCGATTGTATGTAGGCTCAAAAGAACCATATCTCATTCGTCGAGGGCGTATTCACGAGGCCAAAAGGAAGGACGGTCTTCTTGTCGATCACGTGACTGTCAGGTGGGCTGTACACACTGTAAACAGAAAGCATCGCTTTATCACACCTCGTAATGTCACTGCTCACGGGCAATTTAACCAGCGGACTCACAAAGCAAATTATATTTTCTGTACCATCTGCAAATTCATGCAGAGAACTCCAAGATACCAACTTTGTTCACCACAAATGAATGGATGTGCAAAGTTACACCTTATTTAATAAACTTTTGTACGTAAATCCGGGTAATATCTGTACATGGGCCAGGATTTTCACACAGATAGCACAAAAATCTGATTTCCATCGAAGCAACTATGAATACTGTTACTCTTTCTGGATGGGATACTAGTCCATTGCAGCGTCACCCAAAATTTTGTCTCAGGTTCCACAACAGTTTGCAAGTTCCCATTACACTCTTAGTTTTTCTTTCTTAGACTTGTGAGAATAAGCTGCCTCACAGGTTGAGGGCGGCGGGCAGACTGACAGACCCCACGTCAAATCTAGGTGATATCTGCACATGGGTCAAGATTGTTATAAAGTTAGCCGTTAATTAAATCTGGGTTCCAGAGCACGTACGAAGCAACCAAATTGGCACTCGCCCAGGAAGGAATTGCAAGGTACCCAGTAGCCCCACCATTACCCATCTACACTCTTAGAAGGCGAAGTAACAACACAACACAACAGCCAACGCACTCAGTAGCCAATGCAAGAGGACACTGAACCCCTTAAAATATTATAAAGTGAAATCATTATTTTTCCAACAACGAAGAGGANGTAACAACACAACACAACAGCCAACGCACTCAGTAGCCAATGCAAGAGGACACTGAACCCCTTAAAATATTATAAAGTGAAATCATTATTTTTCCAACAACGAAGAGGAAAGTTAATTTGTTCCAAGAATCTGGAGGTTCAAATCCCGGGTAAATTTCTCGCAATTTTCATGCAAAGCAACCAAACAATCTGCTTCGAATAATCGGAAGCTTGAGCTCGGAAGTTCAATGGTGTGTAAGTTGGCAAATCTTTCCCGCATCCTAGTAAGGAGGGAGGGACGGAGGGATGTGCATGTGTTCGACTGACGTTTTACCCACCGATGAAGACGCATACTTTTAATAAAGCAAAGGGACATAACATTATAGTTATTTTGCTTACACTATACGTGCAGAATCTTCAAGAATACGCAAGTTGCTCGGCCAAGACTCAGCTCTCCGAACGATTTCGGAGATTCGGATCATCCCTTGACATTTGCATTCTAAATTGACTACGATTCTTTCGAATTCAGCTTATTTCAGGATGTATTTCTCTTCTCAAATGCGATCCTGTGGAGCACGCACTTGACTGGTTTATAGCCGGTGATTTTCATTTCTCAACCTCGATAAGACGTTAGGCGCTATGTCATAACATTTAAACTGCTACCATTATTTTCCTTGCCTAAACTAAACATGACAACTGGTTATAGAAAAAAATATTGTTTATTGGTATTCACGCCTTACCAGCCTGTGTAGCAGACGTGTCCTGTCCTAGAAAGTTAGAGGTATTCTATTATATTCCAGTCATTTTCGAAGCTTTCATGCGCTTTTCACTTTCTCAGAAATTAAGATAACTGATGCTACGAAGATACCCGCTAACCTTCCTCTAAGAGGACAAGTTTCNCTCAGTAGCCAATGCAAGAGGACACTGAACCCCTTAAAATATTATAAAGTGAAATCATTATTTTTCCAACAACCCAGAGGAAAGTTAATTTGTTCCAAGAATCTGGAGGTTCAAATCCCGCGTAAATTTCTCGCAATTTTCATGCAAAGCAACCAAACAATCTGCTTCGAATAATCGGAAGCTTGAGCTCGGAAGTTCAATGGTGTGTGAGTTGGCAAATCTTTCCCGCATCCTAGTAAGGAGGGAGGGACGGAGGGATGTGCATGTGTTCGGCTGACGTTTTACCCACCGATGAAGAGCATACTTTTAATAAAGCAAAGGGACATAACATTATAGTTATTTTGCTTCCACTACGTGCAGAATCTTCAAGAATACGACAGTTGCTCGGCCACGACACAGCTCTCCGAACGATCTCGGAGATCCAGATCATCCCTTGACATTTACATTCTAAATTCACTACGATTCTTTTCGAATTCAGCGTATTTCAGGATGTATTTCTCTTCTCAAATGCGATCCTGTGGAGCACGCACTTGACTGGTTTATAGTGATTTTCATTTCTCAACCTCGATAAGACGTTAGGCGCTATGTCATAACATTTAAACTACTACCATTATTTTCCTTGCCTAAACTAAACATGACAACTGGTTATACAAAAAAATATTGTTTATTGGTATTCACGCCTTACCAGTCTGTGTAGCAGACGTGTCCTGTCCTAGAAAGTTAGAGGTATTCTATTATATTCCAGTCATTTCCAAAGCTTTCATGCGCTTTTCGCTTTCTCAGAAATTAAGATAACTGATGCTACGAAGATACCCGCTAACCTTCCTCTAAGAGGACAAGTTTCTCGTGAGAGTTCCAGCGGCAAAAACATCACACTGGTCACTTGCAATCGTCAGTCAGCGAAATTGCAGTTAATCTGTGTGACGGAAAGGCATTGAAAAGCCCTTGATTTCTTGCCCTGGTCCTTTGCCTACAGGCCAGGAGTAAAGGCCTGTCTATTGTCCTTTAATTTCCCATTCGTTCAACTTGTTCGATATTAAAATTAAATGTTTTAGTGGTCAGTTTTTACAACTAATATTTGCGGCCATTATTTTTTAAACAAGCTAAGCGCAGCTATTGTAGGCTGACTTTTGAGTCAGGTTGCCAAGTAGACACGTGTTCGTTACATGTATCCAGTTTTCTGTGTATATATACTTTAGCCACCTTTTTCACCGTTGAAATGGAATCACTACACTTAATTTCACGGGTGTTCAAAGCATTTACTCACTGCCAGATCGAGTTATCCACAGACCTAGCAGTGAACAACTGCTCCGTCCTACTTGGGGCTCACAGCACTGCGCAAGGCACAGTAAATACACCCTTTGCAGGATCCGGTCACATGGTACGGAATTAATTACGCTGGGACGCAAGTTACGCAGTGGGACTTCCAAAACAAAGGAA